ATGGGCAGGAGAAGGGGGGATAAGGGAAGGGGTAGGAGAGCGAGTAGGATTAGGAGAAGGCGCAGGGGGAGGGAGGGGTAGGAGAAGGGGGGGTGAGAGAAAGGGGTAGAAGGAGTAGTAGGGAGGAATAGGAGTAGGAGAGGGGTAGGAGACAGGGTGGAAGAAGGGAAGGAAGGAGAATGGGTAAGAGGGGCACAATGGGGAGGGTAGACGAGGAGGTAGAAGAAGGGGTAGGAAAAGGGAGGCAGGAGAAAGGGTAGGAGAAAGGGTAGGAGAAAGGGTAGGAGAAAGGGTATGAAGAGAGATTGCTGGAGAGGTGAGAGAAGGAGAAGTGAGAGGGACAAGGTGTTAGGGCACAGACAGAGGATAGCACTTGGTGTACCATTCGCTCTGATGCTGAAGATGTACAGTCGGTTGCCTCCAGCTGTCACATTGACTAGCAGATGCTGGGGAACCTCCAGATAGTACTGATAATAGGTCCGACCGTTGTACTTCTGAACGGACATCTCACGCACTTTGCCTTCCACGTTTTCGCCTGTGACCTCAGGCCCAAATGCATAGATGACCTTTTGTGGATCTCCCACCTTCTCAATTTCCGCATTGTCGCCCAGCTCTGCATTGCATAAAAAAAAACTCAAATCGTCAGTGGAATTTCATATACATCCTGTCTGATCGAGAACTACACTTTTGTACGGAGAGAAGAGGGGGGATGGGGGGAGGGAGGAGGGAAGAAGACAGACCGGGTTCCCAAACTCCTGAATGAATCGGAGGTCGGGCCCGACGACGACTGCCATTGATAAATCTGATCGGCGGCCGTCATTTCGTTTCGGCCTCTGAAGAGGTCGGACGCCTACCCGAGGCCCGCCTTTTTCTTTTCTTTTTTTTTTTTCCTTTCTTTTGGGGCCCGCTATTTTCCCAAGCGGCAAAGGTACTACTACCGGTAGTGGTTTAAACAAAGGTCATCGAAAAAATTGTACGGGTGTGGGGACACGATGGAGGCGCGGGAAACGTGAGCGGTGTTTTTTTGGGGCCCGCTATTTTCCCAAGCGGCAAAGGTACTACTAGTGGTTTAAACAAAGGTCATCAAATTTTTTGTACGGGTGTGCGGTGTTTTTTTGGGAACACGATGGAGGCGCGGGACGTGAGCGGTGCGTCGTCGTCTTCTTCGTTGGCGTTTACGTCGACGCTGGGGAAGGAGAGGGAGGACGTGAAGGGAGCCCAGCTACGTGTCCTCGCCGAGGTTGAGAAGAAAACCCCCGCCACAACGTTAGAACGACTGATGAAAGAGCTGGAGGTGTCTTTGGCAGAGCTCGACGTGTTGCCATCGACAAGGAAGGTATATTTCCGACGAGGCTCGGTGCTGTTCTTGACCAATAAGAAGGAGGCGATCAGTCAGCAGCAGAAGGGACTGGATAAGGCGCGAAAACAGCTTGTCAAGCTTCAAGGAGGGCCGACATCGAACTGAAAAAATAATAATAATAATAATAATAAAAATAAAAAAATGCATGTTGTTTTTGTGTTGGATGCTGGTTGTATTGGCCGCCATCGAGTGGGCGAAATCGGCGGATGTCCGATCTGTTTTTTGATCCGACGATTGGCAATTGATCTGGCAAAGGATTTGGATTTGGGATTAACAGCATGATTGATCTGTTCTTCTCTGCTTAATTTCAATCTCTGCCGATGAGAAGCCGATCGATCTATGGGCGTCGCTGCACTACTCTCGACATGCACAAAAGACAAAAATCATGGCGGTGTATCTTTCCATAATCTAGCGGGAGTTCACTCTCGTTTTGCACTTTTCGAGAGTAGTGCAGCGAGGCCCTATATGTCATCCAATCCTGATTTGATTTGATCAGATGGCGCGCAGCAGATCGTGTCTAACTAATCCGATGAGCTTTTTTTTTATCTTACCGTTTTTCTCTGAGCCTTATCTTTGTATTTTGATCTTATCTGCATCTTATTTCCATCTTATCCTATCTTATCCGATCTTATCCCATGCGCTCTGATCTGATCTCATCTTTTTTTTTGGGGGGGGGCGGTATCTTCGGCGCAGTCACGAAAAAACAGTTTGTAATTGCACTTCAGGCGATCCCGCGAATACAACACACCCCCACGCGGCGACCGCACCTGACCCGAAACGTAGGTCATATACATTCAGCATTTAATTTACCGGCCCTTTTTTTTTTTTTTGGAATTACCGGCCCTTTTGCCTCCACAAGTGCAATTAGAAACTCAAACCCTGACTGCGCCGTAGTTTTCTCTTTTTTTCTTTTTCGTTTTCTTTTTTTTCCCTTTCTTTTGTTCTTTTCAAAGGGCAACTGCCTTTAGATATCGTCATTGAGGTGACCGGCCCCAGGTAGTCCAGAATTAGGTAGTATTTTGATCGCATCTGGATTCGAACTTGGGTCTGATTCATATTTCAACAGTTCATGGGTGTACCAGCTGAGCTAGCCTCTTTGGTTAGCTCATCTATCACATCGTATGTGATCTTATCTGATCTTATCTGCTTGGTTCCCATCTCATCTCATCTCATCTCGATGGAGAGAACGTGTTCTGTGATCTTATCTCATCTTTCTTTTCTAGTCGTTTGCGACCTAATCTGATCTTATCTGCTTTGATCTCATCTCATCTCGTAGGAGAGGACAGGGAAGCAGAGGGTATTGCGACCTAATCTGAATCCTGTCGATTTGTTTGGCACCGATCGCAAACGCGTTGCTGTCACAATCCGATTCTGCCGGTGTTCGTGCGCCTCCGGGTTGATTGTGAGGTTTTCCCGACCTCTTGTTCATTGGTGATAAATTTGCAAACCTTCTTACCAAAAAAAAAAAAAAAAAAAAAAAAAAAATCATCAAGAAGGACGGTTCCTCGAACCTGTTCACGGATGCGATTATAGATGGCTGATCGCTAATTACAGTCAGTATGACCGACTGTCGGTACTCCTCCCAATAGTCCGACGTGGCTGGCGGGTGCTTGCTATCATCATCCATTTGGTGGCCAATCATTTCGGTTGCTAAAGTTGTCGGCGAATGACACGTCAGTCGGACCCCCCGAGGCAAATGGAGATCTCTAACGCCCTCCTTGAAGCTTGACAAGCTGTTTTCGCGCCTTATCCAGTCCCTTCTGCTGATTTTGACGCCTTATCCAGTCGATCGCAAGCAAAGAAACAAGTCTCTGGCGCCAGAGAACTTTTTACTTGTGCAGATTTTGATTTGAAGTGGATTAGGGGAAATTGCGCGGGCGGGCAAATGCAGGGGAGAAAATGGGAGAGGAAGTGGATCTTGCCGTTGTGCATTTCTCCTGCGGCCACCTGAAGTTGTTGCTTACACACACACACAGAAAAGACACTCGTGGTTAATGAATGGGTGGTGCTATTTTCGGCGAATTTTTCACCGAAACTGCCATATTTCCCTGATTTTTTTTTTTTTTTGTCTGATATGTATGTGTGTACTTGAGGGTATATCTGTATTCAGATTCAGCGTATTTGGACGAGTAACGAAGAAGTTGGCAAAAACACCGAATTCGGGGAAAAAAAAAAAAATTGGCGAACTCCGAAAGCTACTCGGAATAGGGTTTTAATATAGTCCTTTTGAGTTTTTTTTTTTTTTTTTTTTTTTTTTTTT